CCGTCTGACACCAGCCACTCCCAGAGGCACGATACACACCGCCGTACATTTGATCCACCATCCCTACGTGTCTGGGAAACACGAATAAGTCAAAAATTGTCCAGCACGCAGGGTTCAAGGTGACACCCAATGAGGCCAGAGCAGGTGGAGCCTGCCAGCTGCTCAAGAGCCCTGTGCTGCACATGGGGGTAACTGGGGCTAAACCAGGTAAAACAGGAATCTCATCTTTCCCCTGAGCCTTTCGAAGCAACCTACCCAAACCATCGCCAGCCCTACCTCCCCAGGAGGGCACACCAGACCTCGAAAAGCAGAAAGGCTGAAGGACCGTTCAGAGAGCACCTACTGCAGCCAGTGGAGGAAGAGCAAACACAATGCAGGGATCTTGAACACGGGCTCTTGTTCGTAATCGCTGGGACACCGGCCACACCAAGGCAGCGGAAATCCTGCCCAATGTACGCTGAAAAGCAATAACGAAACTCAGGAGCATTCAGGAAATTATAGATGTGCAAGTCTGGGCCACTGCCATCTGCAAAATCCTGGAGGTACCGGTAAGATATAAGATCAAAAACCATCTGGAAAAATATGAGCTGATGAAAACTACTTTCCTTAACTTCATGAAAGCTAAAGCACCTGACAAATATGGTGGCATTTTATTTTTTGGGGTTTTTTGTTTGTTTTTTTTTTTTCCAGGAAAAGATCCACAGGATTAAGAAGATTAAAGTGATGAACATGACCTAAAAGAATGCCTTAAAGGTATGGCAGAGATGTGAATCTGTCTAAAGTGGCTCAAACTAAGCAGGAACTGAACCAAACCATCACCCCCAACCTGAAACAAGCTAAAATAAATGGATTTTTGTGGCTTTGGATGCCTTCTTTCTGCCCCAGTTTAAATCCCCTCTCAGACTGCAGCGTTAGTTCCAAAAGATTCACTTACGCACATACACACATGCATCCGGTAAGCTGTTGTAGCTTGTCTGTTCTCCAAAACACCCTCAAACCTGACTATTTTCTTAGTCTAAGACATTCTGGCCAGCAGCCCAGTCGTAACCCTGCTTCTGCTGTAGGATCACCACCCAGTTCACAACCCTCCTCTGCCTGAGGCACGTGCAGCCAAAAATAGTTCATACTAAATGAGATAAGAGGTGAGGACATGTCAATTTTTCAATGTCTATAGGAGGCATCTTCAGACTGTCACAGACATACCATGGATCCACCCTTACAGTTCTTAACCTGTATCCCTTCACAGCTGTAAAATCTAACACTTAACATTACATAAATTTTGACATATAGTATAATTCAAATCAGCTTATAAGTCAACAAGGAGAGTGAGAAAACACACCCTGTTAAGCAGAAATATTTTGTGCGGGCTAAGACCTACACAGCAAATGTCTGAATCAATAGCAGAAAAGGAAAATTTGCAAATCACAATGTTACAGAGCAGAGGATGCACTCAGAGACACGCAGGGGACCTGCAGCGGTCCCCAGATCTGCCCTGTGCCCACACGCACAGTCAGGACTGCCTAAGTCACTGGGCTTGTAGCAGCAGTACAGCTGGCTGATGGGGTAAGGCAAGCTACAGAAGAAATGAAATCTTACATTAAATCAACTGATGTATGTGGAAAACCTTGAAATCTTTTAGGGAGCACCAACCCTTCTTCAGATCTGTCCAACCTCGCAGCGCTGCCTAGGCCAGCTTCCCAGGTTTCTTTAACGTGCTTTTCACCTCCACAACCTCCTCTGCCAGTGCAAGCTAGAGAGCTTTTTCCCCCCGTTTAAGCTGAATCTTTTTCATTCATATTTAAGCTCTTTATTTCTCACCTTGTCCAGCATGGGCTGTTCCCTTAACTGTCTTGCAAATAGTTGAACATTGTTATCAAGTCCTCCTTCAGTTTTCTCCTACCCTGGTTAAGAAACCAAATTTTCTCCATTTCTGTCCTTTTGAGGGATGTTGGGATGGCAATTCTGACCCGAGTCAGACAGCTCCACCAGGACCTCATCTGGTATTAGCTCACAAAGGGCGAGTAAAAAAGCTGCAAGCGAGGAGTGCAAGGAGAGAACAAGCACGCAGCAGTGAGTTCCCTCCTGCTCTCCTCCATCCGTGGCTCAGGCATTTGCAGAGTCTGGGGTGGTATTATTTTGATAACCCTTGAATGGCTCTAGCCCACAAATTTACCTAATCACTTTTGAAACCAGGTACCTTTCAGCACACTTAATGTGCTGTAGCAATCAGCTCTGCCATTTAATTACGTGTATCTCATTCTCTGTTGAGGTGCCCATTTTGTGTATTTTGAACTTCCTTACATGTTCTCTAGTAGCTGTATTAGGACAGACAGCGAGCCACCGCTCCCAGTTCATCTTCTCTGTTATTCATGACATTGCAAATCTCGACCAGCTGCCTCTTTTCTGCCCTGTGGAGCCCCAGTCCATTTTTCTTCATATGGAGGTTTCTGATTGTCCTCGTACTCCTGCTACAGATCTACTCTGTCCTTCAAGATTCAGACTCCAATTAATGCAGACAATGCCCTAATGATGTCATCATGAGGTATCTATTTTTCTTAATTATTCTCTTGTCCATTTGCTTTTCTGTTATCTGCCGAGCACTGAACTGAACATCCTCTCTTTGTGCAAGGCAGTGACTCCGTACCGGGAAAACCTCAGCAGCCTCCTCCTTTCGTTCCTGCCGCTCTCGGTATTAAGCGGTAAGGAATTCACCCTGTTCACAGTCTTGCCCAAAGGTTAGACATCACCATCATTAGAAATGCAAGTTTGAATTTCTGTTTAAGTGAAGTCAACAGAATTTGGCCCATTGCTACTTAGAAGTTCTTACAACTGGCATTAACGCCCTGTTGACTCATGCTGCCACTTGAAAGCCCAGGAAAGGCACGACTAACGGAAGGGTACGTGGGGAAATTTGCAGTCCCCATTATTAGCACACTGCAGTGCTATCTTCTTGCAACACATTTCGCCACTATTTCCTTCAAGTACTCTGTTTCACGGGAGATTGCTCTGAAGTGCCTATCTTTTCATATTTACCATGTTTTACGTATTAGATTTCCAGTTCAATAAACTCTTATGCAACCAACATAAAATTAGCCAGCTACGTATATTAATGTTTTCTAACTTTTTTTCACTATTTTCTAAATGTCTCATTTGAAAAGTAAAAACAGATACATTTGAATGGGCCTTTACAGTGTGCAGGAATCACAGAAGTCCAGTAACTGCAAGGTTTTTGATGGAGTGGTTTATGTAATATCTGAAATATTAACAAAGCTGTCCCCTGCGTAATGAGCCAGACTGCATTTCTTCAATATATTTAGAATGAGTCACATAAATCTCCTGTTCTGCACATGTGTCCCTACTCAAAGAATTTCCCTAAGAATGCTAGCTGAGGATTTTCAGGAAATTACAATAGTTTGAATGAATTCAGAAATAGTCACATACTTAGAACATATCATAATAGGTAATTCAGAAAGGAAGCTGAGCAAAACATTTAAAAATATTCAACGTATCGTATTTGATTAGTGCAAGGTCATAGCATTCAACACTTTAAAAGCCAGATTGTTCACTCTCATGTTTCCACTGTAATTTTATGAAACAGAAGTTTTATAGCTAATTCTAGCAAATAACTATTTCAAATAGTAAATCTGGAATTTAAGATATTTAGGAAATGCTTCAGAAACATAAGCTTTTAAAATAGATACAGTTATATCCCTTTTATAAGTAGAAGCTGTTTTTCAACTTCTTGACCACTGAAAAAGTAAACAAACAAAGATTTTATCAACAAAAGTTGCTATCTGATGGACCTGAAGTTACGTAGTATTACAAAAAATAATTTAATTTATTGAGTCAGCTACTCTTTGGAATCAACATGGCCCATTGAAGGGTTGGGCTGTTGATAGCCCATGACCACCAGCAAGTGGATAGATGGACATAAATTCACGTCAAAGGAAGCGACTGCTGCTCAGTGTAAGCAAGAGGCTCACGACCTGATCTGGAGTCTTTACCTCCAAGAGGAGTATCAGAGACCCATCTTGCAGCGTATCGCCCACCTCCCCCACAGTCTCACAAACCCAGCTTTCTCACACTTGAAAACAAACACCCACCCTTGAGGAAAGCAGAAAACATTAAACGACCCCAGGGAAGTGGTGAGATAGGATCCAACCCAACCCGAAGCACTGGGGATCTCATTCTGTTGCGCCTTTGAGGAGATTTGTGTCTAGACTGGAACGCGCCGACCTGAGGGTCCTGACCTGCTTCATTTCTGGTGTATCTCGTAAGCCAACTGGTTTAATAATATCACGATAATAAGAAAGGGGACACAGATCTGCTCCAGACCAAGAAGGAGGGTACAGCACCAGCACGTGCTTACCCGTATGCCTGCGTGGCCGAGTCCCACCCACAGCACGTGCACTCCGTTGCACTCAGTGCTCCATGACTGTCAACACAGCTCCATACCTCACAGCCTGGAGCTGGGTGACATTCCCGTTGCATGCCTGCCCTGCAGACGTGCCCAGAGGTATCGCCAGCCCTAGCCAACAACCACATCTCTCCAGCTCTGTGAGACAGGTCCTGTCCTTTCCCAGAGAGCCGGGGGTTCGTTCCCTGTGACAGCCAAAAGGCAATCCTCACTTTAACCTTCATGGGAGCCTGGGATAGGCGAGGGCTGCACTACATCCCTGAAGGAAAACAACATCGCTCCTGGCAGATTTCAAAACACTGCAATTTGTGAATGACGTTGTTTTAGAAAAACAACGTTCCTCTCCAGCCATGAGCTGGAACCCTGAGAGGACTTTCAGTGTAGTGTTAAAATTCTCATAATGGGAAAGGCTCAGACCTCTTACCTTCAATAACACACTGATCGGGGATAGGAATTTTCCTCCCCATCTCCATGACATATGCTTTCACTTTACCCAGATTTTCCTTCAAGTGCAAGTAGAGCTTGTCCTGGTATTCCACGGGGCTCATCCCTGCCTCTGCGCTCCCTTTGAGGGCCTTTTCTTTAGCAGATTCTGGCAAATTTGCTGATTCTGTGTAATTGATACTTTGGTGTGAAACCAAAGAATTTCCCAGTTGCATTGCTTCAGCATCGACACCAAAAGGCAATTTGTCATTTTCTTGGCTAATGTAGATCTCGGTGAAGGAGATACCAGCGGTTATCTCCCCGTTCTCCTCGTCCTGTCCGCTCTCTGAGTTTACCCCCTTCATGCGGACTGCATGCAAAGCGAGGCTTTTGGACCTGGAAGGCAATTAAGGAAAGGAAAAATGTTTTGGAATAGAGGTAGGACAACAAAAATCACCCAAACATGTGCTCCTCCGAGTTACCTCTGCGCAGCTGGTTCAGAGAGCTGAGTGTGGGGCTCGCTTGGCCAGAGGCAAGAATCTCTTGGTAAATATGCATTTCAAAAGCAAAACTCAAGCCACAGCTTTAATAAGCAAATGAAACTAAATAATATCCATATATCACAACATCTGCATGCCATGGGAGCTAGTCAATCTATCTGTAAGAAACTCATAACCCCAGGACTGGAGTATACGCTTTATTGATCACATCATAAAAATGCCATCCAGCAGCCATTTAACCGAACCAAGACTGAGCCTCCAGTCCTTTGCTGCCCCGTACCTATGTGCTGAGGATGAAGTTAAGCCTCCATAGGAGTAAGAAGGGTAGAAGTGAAGTGACTGAAAGGGAAGATACTGGAGGAGGAAGAGAGACCCTCTGCCGTGAAGGCAGCCTAAGGACACCGTGGGTGCACGTTGCTGTCGGAGCCCTTATCTCCCCCAGGGTCCCGGGAGAGTCACACTCATCCCGCACAGCCCACAGGCAAAATTTGATTCAAACGTTCGATACGTCTTGTTAGCAATAATACCTGAGAAAGGTCTCTGTATCTTCCTTCCTAGTAATATCTGTATGCAAATATTTTCCTATCCCTTGTGCTGTTTTAGGGCACAGAAGAGATTAAATAAATAATTTAGAAAGATTTTATCCAGCCTTTGAATTAGTATGAGGCTTGGTTAAAATTAGACTTGTGATGCCCATAGGTATCATGCAAGCAGATCAAATTCTCAATGTTTGGATAAAGTTTTATTACAAAAGTGATATTCATGAAAACGACTCACACGTTTTACAGAGCCATACCTGTTAAATCTCATATCCCTCCTTTCTTCTTTAGAAACCTGGCCTAAACTGTATCTCCGCACCGAGCCAGGAGTACTGTTGTCGACATTTATTTTCTCTTCAAAAGCCTGTATTTTAACTTGAAGCTTTTCATCTTCTTCATTTCCATTCATAACAGATTTTAAATCATCCAGTGGTACAGGAGATTCTGTTTCAGCATCATTTTCCAGCCTAAGGAAGTAGAAAGCAGAGATCTAACTCTGGCACGCTGTGCTCACAGCGCTGCTGACGCCGCATTTTCACATACTATGTATCTGGTAACATAATTCTGTTTCAGCAGAGATTCTCTTAGAGGTTGATTAATCATTTTCAAAAACATCTTCTAGGTTGCCCAGAGAGGTTGTGGCTGCCCCTGGCTCCCTGGCAGTGTTCAAGGCCAGGTTGGATGGGGCTTTGGGCAACCTGGGCTAGTGGAGGGTGTCCCTGCCCATGGCAGGGGTGGCACTGGATGGGCTGGGAGGTCCCTGCCCACCCAAACCAG